ATATATATATATATATATATATATATATATATATGTCGGTTAGAATATTTATTCCTTTTGTAAATTCTTTTTGTAAATATTTTCACACAAATATATACTTTCCGATCATTAACCTGAATAGTTATTATTGTTGAACAAATTAGTGTCTGGCGGTAACTTAAAAACTTACAACTTAAATACGTGTAATAGAGTTGGTCTACAGTCGACACTTTATACGATATGTAAGTGTTGTTGCGGTTGGAGATAGAAAAGTAGCAGAAAAAGCAAACGAAAAAAGCCTAAATGTATAAATATGCGTCTGAATAAATTGCATAAGGGCACATACATACATACATACATACATACATACATACATACATACATACATACATACATACATACATACATACATACATACATACGTACGTACGTACGTACGTACGTGCATACATAGAGTTTCCTCCCACTGATATATTTCAATATCACCGTATGAAATTTGTAATAAAGTTAATAAAGTATTTTATGTAGTATAACGTTTATCAAGTATTTATCCCGCTAGTAGACTCCATATGCAGCCAATCAATGGCAATATCGAAACAAGCTTACCATAGTCAGTGTACCATCATGCAGCGATGCTCTCCGAGGCTGCACGTAATCTATTCTCATATCTCCAGGTATTACGAGAGAAGCTGCAAGAATCCCACTACATCATATTCAAAAAGGTTTCCTTGCACTGATATTCTGATTTCCAGATCAAGCCCCTGTACAGAATTTATTCCCAATCAATTCAAGAGTCAGATAATTGGATGAATAGATAGGAAATCCCCGTTTAAAACACCTCGGTGTTTCCTTAACTGTTCAATTACATCACAAGATGCAATCAGTCTCGTTTAATTGGACGGAGAATGGTTATTTACATTCCGTTGTATCCCAAACGTGGCATCGAACTAAATTAGCTATGATCTTATAAGAGAGGCACATGTGTGTGGGTTGCTAGATATAAAAATAGGAAGACGTTTAGCGTGGAAACCCTTGTGGGTATAACTACATTAAGGAGAATACATTGCCGGTAAGTAGCAAATTGTTCCTGTTATTTATCTCAACCTTATATGGTTCGCATATCTCTCTCTCTCTCTCTCTCTCTCTCTCTCTCTCTCTCTCTCTCTCTCTCTCTCTCTCTCTCTCTCTCTCTCTCTCTCTCTCTCTCTCTCTCTCTCTCTCTCTCTCTCTCTTCTCTCTCTCCCACTCTCTTTCTCTCTCCTCTCTCTCTCCTTTCTCTCTGTCTTTCTCTTTCCTCTCTCTCTTTTCTCTCTGTCTTTCTCTCTTTCTGTCTCTCCTCTCTCTCTCCTTTCTCTCTCTCTCTCTCTCTCTCTCTCTCTCTCTCTCTCTCTCTCTCTCTCTCTCTCTCTCTCTCTCCTCTCTCTCTCTCTCTTCTCTCTCCCACTCTCTTTCTCTCTCCTCTCTCTCTCCTTTCTCTCTGTCTTTCTCTCTTTCTGTCTCTCCTCTCTCTCTCTCTCTCTCTCTCTCTCTCTCTCTCTCTCTCTCTCTCTCTCTCTCTCTCTCTCTCTCTCTCTCTCTCTCTCTCTCTCTCTCTCTCTCTCTCTCTCTCTCTCTCTCTCTCTCTCTCTCTCTCTCTCTCTCTCTCTCTCTCTGCGATCTTGATGTCAAGCAGAGAACTATATTTTCTTGTGACTGAGGATTTTACCAGTTGTGCTTGAACATCTAGCATTTTAAGCTGCATTATGTTGTGACCTGTTTGGGTCAGAAAATGTTATCTTTCTGGGGCAAAGGGTTCTTTAACGAAACAAGAAATAAAATATATTTTCGTATAATATTTGGTGGAAAAGTATGTTTTGGATAAAAGTGCTTTGGTTTTGATTAGTAAGTATGTATCAGACTCTAACATAAAAGTAAAGGAATATAAAAATTAAAGGATATATATATATATATATATATATATATATATATATATATATAGAGAGAGAGAGAGAGAGAGAGAGAGAGAGAGAGAGAGAGAGAGAGAGAGAGAGAATGCAGTTACATAAAGAAGGAAAATAAACTATGTAAGAGAAAAAGGAGATAGACACAAATGCAGTTACGGAAAGAAGAAAAACAAATGCAAATGCAAAAAGAAATGGAAAACAGAGAATTGCAGAGAGAAAGAGAGAAGGAATAAATGACATATCAATTTAGATTAAAGTAATTAGAGCTGGCTAGTGAAAACCACATCCCCACTTTACATACAAATTCAAGTTTTGATGTTAATAAGAATATTAGATTAGTGCCCCCTTTTTGAGAAAAAGAAGAAGACATATTTTCCTCGTTTTGAAAAAAAAAATGCTGAAAATTCGAAATGGCCAAAGGAACACTACATCCTATTTAGCCCGAGACATGTATGCTTCCCTATCAGTATAGCAAAGTGCTAACTATGATCCAGTTAAGGAATGCATCTTAAAGGGTTATGAGCTAGTCCCTGAGGCTTAACAAAAAATACAGGAACTACGAAAACGAAGCTGGACAAACCCTTGTTGAATTTGCAAATGAAACAGAGCAGTTATATGATAGGTGGTGCTTAGCCAAAGAAAGTTGATCA